AACCACTTGAATTAATACCCCCTTTCATATGAGTGTAGTATTACTGTTTTAAAGCAGATAATTTGTGATCCTTGTGGCCCAAGCATGAATTGGAAATGATAAGGATTATTGATGTGAACGGTATTAGTAGCTTTGGTTATAAATCAGGCTTGGTTTCTATGCACCAATAGACTGGAATGCCAGATCTGGCATGAGTTTACATACACAGGTAGGAAGCCTGACATATCGGTTTTATATAAAGAACAATATACAGAAATTAGAAAGGGATGGAAAAACCTGCTAGAAGCTGCTGTCTGGTAAGCATTTTAGACAGGCTTTTCAGCCACTGGTAACTGGAAGTGAACCTGCCTGTCATTACGAATTCAGTGCCACTGTCCATCATGCAATGTCTGCTGTTTTCAGCACTGCAGGGGAAAAGAAATTGTCCTCCCCTGTCTGTCTTGTCATAACACAGAGTGTAGGAGTTGTAAGAGTTACCTTGAGAAATGCTACACTAGCTGCTGTCTTTTGAGTTTTGCTCATACTTGGGCAACAACCAACCAGTTAAAACTGGGACTTGTGGAATCTCTGTCCTGTCCGGAGTAGGAGAAAGTTTTCAACTGCAGCATAGGGCAACTTCTGAGAGCAGATCTGCATACATACAGCATGATTCACATATGGCATGAGCAGCATGATTTACCTATGGCGTGAGCTGCATATGGGATCATTTATATCCCTTTCAATGTTCCAGGAGTGCAGTAGGTTCTTCCCTTATTTTCTGCAAAGAGAAATTTAAAGGACATTTATGGGGTCTCTGTTTGTTTCCTTTCTGTCAAACAGTTGGATTGCTGGTAGGTAATGCACTCTGCTTCCCTAGACTCTGAACTTCATCCGAGCTGTTACATTTGTCTCTGTTAGATGGTTCTGCCTTCTCTTTAGCATCGATTTGTTTGGCAAAAAAAAGTAACAACTGACATCCTAATTTTTCAAATTTCACGTTATTTTTCACCTAGGCTTAGAACTCTATTGTGAGTAGTTTCCAGAAGAGCTGTCTTAGTAAATGTCCGTATATAAACATTTCCTAAAATGATCTCGTGGTTACCAGGAGACCCTGACATTTTCCTGAGGATTCACTTGTCTAACTGCATGAATCAAGGTCCTTCCTTACCTATGTTCTGTTTTCATTTTTCCCTTAGGGAAGCAATAGCACTTTCTGTTGACAGAGTTATAACAAGTTGTGAAGCTAGCAACAAAATAAAATCCAAGGGGGGTGTCTGGGTCATCTGCCAGCAGGGCAGAGGGACGTGCTTAGCATTTCCAAAAATCAGATTTTTCTCACTGAAGTGCAAGTTCTGTAAGTTTCTAAGTCCACTTAAGCAGTTAGAAGCTTCAACTCAGACCTCCCAAGTATAATACACTAACTACCGATCATAAGAGAACTGTATTAGCTAAAAATCTTGCTTTGACATAGAATTAGCTTCTTACAACTTGAAATTTCATCTCTACGCATCTCCCTTTGCTCTAACAGCCACCAGAGAAGAATGCTTCAGCTTTAGGTCCTGCTGAAGCTCCCTGGTGCTAACGCAGTTCCTCTGCCCTGCTAATGCCAAAGGGTGAGTTTGCAGCATGGCCACTGCAGTGCAGGCTGGGCTGGTCCAGGAAGAGTTATCCAAAGCCTAAATAGGAAAATTAACTTTTCCACCCAGAGTCTGCTGCACTAGCATAGCGCACCCGACTGTGGAAGCCTTGGAGAGGCGGTATGGATCCCGCAGGTAAATGGGAGGATTTCCTAGTATCTGCCAGGTCAAGCTGAATGGCATTTGGCATGCATAGAGGCATGCTGATGAAATATAAATGGGCACAGGAGAGAAACAGGCTAGTGACTTCCAGCTGTCATGCAGAAAGTAGATCTGCTATTCCCTACTATACAGTGGCTTTTTCCAGTTTCTTTTTCGTCCCAGTAACATGAAATACCACAGGCTCTTGGGTTAGATTAGGTGACGAGGGGCATAGCTCAGCATGTCTGAGCATGCCAGATATATTTTGGGCTCTAGAAAGAAGCATGCTACGAGCTTTAGTCTGTATTTAGTCACTGGCCTACTTTGCAGGATATTTTGCATTTCTGAAAACTTTCTCACCAGAGATGTGCCCCCTTTTTTCTTTCCTTTCTCCTTTCTGTTTTTGTCCTGAAACAGTGAACACCTCTTACAGTTATTCAAGGTTGGATATAGTAACACCTGGCCATTCAAATGGTGCCTGCATGTTAACTTTTAAATGTGTGTTTACTGCCTTTCCTCTTTTCCTTTTGGTTTACATCTAGTTAAAGACAAGGTTTGGCCATCACTATGCTCTGTCACTTGTGCAAATGCGGTAGAGGTCACGTTGAGCCTCCCAAGTTTTGGAGGAAGCTCTATTTCGAACTGTCACCTTGCATAAAATGACAGGAGGGGTGACTTCTTACTTAAGACATCCTCTTCTCACGAGGTCATATACCCCATTTCACAGGAAGGGAGATTATGTGGCTGCCTCTCTGAAGCCCTTTGCCAAGAGCCCCATCAACAGACTTTGGGAGACTTCATGAGGAGGTTTAGGAGCATACGTACTTGACACTTGAAGTCTTAATTTCTTTGGGATCATCTGGAGTTCTCCTCCCCCTCCCAGGGAAGCTAATAAAGGCAACCTTGTGACTTAGTGGTTTATTTTGGAAGCTGCAGGAACTCGCTGTGGCCAGAGGAGCCAGATTTGGCAAATGTTGTCCCATGAACTCTGTTGCAGTGGAGAAATGTCACAATCCCCCTGCTCTTCCTTATCCCAGATAATTGGGTCACCACAGTAAATTGGTAGGTTGGTTGATAAGTGGAGAAGACAGATCTCCATTGGGAATAAGGCTGTGCTTTCATCTTGCGGGTCTGAAGGAAATCACAGTGTCTGTGGATGCATGCATAGATCTCAGTCAGCTTTGCCCATTTTCAGGAGAGGAAACTGGGGCACCACGGCTAACTTGGCAAAGGTACTGTGTAAATCCATGCAGGATGAAGAATTTAATCATTAATCTCCAGGATCAAGAAAGAACCATGGTCCAGCACTTCATGTCCTAGCAAAAATCTCATATATATAATAGAAGTTTTTAGTGAATGAATTTTGTATTCCTTTGCAGGCAAACAAGTGCTAATTTTAATTGTTTCTTCCAAATATTGTTAGACTTCTCTGTCAAAACCTTCTGCAGTCAACGGGCTGAGTGCTCATGAATTATAAAAAAGCAACAAGTCTTCAAAAGTAAAAAATGCATTGGTGCTTCGTTTTCTCATGTTATCTCATAGTATAAAAATCCTTATACAAATGTTTTTAGTAGTTAAGACCTTCTAAGATGTTATTTTACAGTGTAAGGCATTCAAGGATTGATGTCTGCTTCATGTCTGGAAAAGACTGGAGCAACAGTTGTTCAGCCAGTTTGGAGCCTGGAGAAAGAGAGAGGGACCTCTTTTCTGATGAATATGTGTATTTAGAGAAAGCATCAATCCTTGACATCAACTTAAGGGTTTTCTTGGAAACACTGATGTGTAGGTATGTTATTTTCCTGTTGGTTGTTCTTAATGATTCAGCATCTTGGGAATATGTGAATATTGCCATTATGTCAGAGGTTTCAGAGACCCTTCCTTCTTGCTACCGCAGGACGTACATTGCACTGGGGTCATCGAAAGAAATTAAGCATGGTCTCTTGAAACTGTTGGTGTGGGTATTTTGTATGAGACTGAAGTTACTGTGGAAAAACTTAGAGGAGGAGATGGGCTCAGGGCTTTTTGTCTGATATCCCCTGATCTCTTGAAATGCTTCTTAATAGGTGTGGAGTTGGCTGATGGATGCTTGCTGCTAAATGTTCGTTTAACCCCTTGCCACCTCCAGAATGCCACTTTTCTGTAGCCAGCCATCATGGATGGGAAAAAGGGTTGCATGGAACATCTCCATGGCAGTTGCTAGCAGAAGAGAAGCAGGCCTCAGAAGAGGCACGTGGTTCGAGGAAATTTCCTTCTAGCTTTTGACCATCTTGATATCAGTGTGGGCCCTATACTCTGCTTTGCAGTCCTTTGGATATTAACGGGTTTATTTTTGAAGTCCCTTTCTGTCTGTTTTTTTGGTGTGAAAGAGCTCAGTCCTTTTTCAGATTAGACTAATTAATAGCTAAATGTAATTCAAAAGGCAATCACAAAACTGAAACTATTAAAAGAAATACTATGTCTATAACAGTGGGTTGAATATAATAACTATCAGCAATTTCTCTTTCCTATAATTAGTTACCAGAGAGCTCAACTTTTTACTTAAACTTCTCTAAATCTGTAGGAATGTATGGGAATATTGTGATTATTGTGCTGTCCCAGTGACTGAGAAGCTGTAAGAAAATTGTATTCTTACTGCACGGGATGTGGTAACAGCAATAGATGAATATTAATGCCCTTCAGAGTATTTTCAGTAGCATTCCCTAGACAGACATATAGATTAAGTCATTCTTCAAAGAAGGGCATCCCTGGCTGCAGTTGATAAAATGTTGAGAGGTCTGCTGAGGATGGTGAAGCTAGATGATAGACATCAACTGGGAATCAGGCTGTATGGTATGGTCTATATGTTCTACATATCTTATACTCACTGTGTGCAAAGAGCCAAGAAGAATCCTCCTTCTAGGAAGAGGGTTTATCGCACTGTTAGGTAAACTCAAACAAAATGCCCAAACTTTCTAAATCCTTTTAAATTGCTCAAAAGATTTCCTAGCTCGGTGATATTGCAAAAAACATATTGCCTTGGAGGTGACCTAATTTTAACCTCTTCTGAGTTGCTTTATGATTAGAACAGTCACATGCTGAGGTAGGACCCCATTAGGGGGTTTAATTCATCTGTTTACTTCTGAAAACACAGACTGTTACAGGCTCTGCTGAGAATTCCCTCTTTTCTTTCTTTCTTTCATTTCTTTTTTTAATTTTCTTTTATTTTCTTTCTTCTTTTTTTTTATTTTTTTTCTTCTGTTGCAGGACAGAACATCGCAGTTGTACCAGTTTGGGAGCAAAATATGGAATGTGTTTCACTGCTGACCGACGGCAGCCAAATGAACAGTATTTATAGTAGTTTGAAAATCAGCAGTTAGCAGTTTCTTCACATTCTAACACTACCCAGCACTTTCCAGAGAGAACTCATTGTTTACGAGAAATCTGCTTTCCAAATCCGTGTCGGTGCCCTCCAGCCTTGACTATTAACTATTTGCAAAGGGGAAGCTAATCTACAGTTTGGGGAAAAATGGCGATGGATGAGTACCTGTGGATGGTCATTGTAGGGTTTATCATTGCTTTTATTTTAGCCTTTTCGGTTGGTGCAAATGATGTTGCCAATTCTTTTGGAACGGCTGTGGGCTCTGGTGTTGTTACTTTACGCCAGGCTTGCATTTTGGCTTCGGTTTTTGAAACCACTGGTTCAGTGTTACTGGGAGCAAAAGTAGGAGAAACAATTCGGAAAGGTATCATAGATGTTAACCTGTACAACAACACCGTCCCACGGCTGATGGCAGGAGAAGTGAGTGCAATGGTTGGTAAGTAATACTTTCCAATTACAAGTAATATTCACTGTGTGTTTGTCATCCTGTTTGTTCGTTGTCAATATTGTTAATTAAGTCTTCCCATCCTCTGGACTTGCACGTCTGGTTTTGTGTGTGTGCAAGGGCCTGTACTCCTTTTGTAGTCTCCTGTGTTTTTTAAATGCTCCTAATAATTTAGATTTTTCAATGGTTCAGCAATTTAACAAATAGAAGAAAAAATGTTTAACATAATGGGTCACATATATATATTCCTAGGGTGATGGAAAAGATAATTTGGAGATTTTTATGATAGTAAATGGAAAATATGTAATCATAACTTTTGTGACCATATAGAAGATCCTACACAAACAGCAGTTTGCAATGAGTAAGGACAAGCAGGAATTGCCTAAATAGTTTTTTTTTTTTTAAATTACATAAAATCCGAACATGTTTCCTTAAACTGATTGTCCAGCTGAGTGATTGCAATTCATCATACGCTTCACCCTTGCTGCTGGCAAAGCTAAAGGATCAGTAAGGATAGATGGTCACATTTAAAGTCTTTTTAGTTTTTCTGGCTCAAACCAACAGCAGTTCAGCGTACCTTAAAGTCTGCTCTGAGGTGCTTTTATTTGCAGTTAAGTTAATCTCCCTTTAAAACAAATAGCATATTCTGAGGTAAGTAACATTAAGCCACGGTATTTACTCTTTGTTTATATGCAAGAGGCTTTGTGAGCTTTTGAAGAGCTCCCTCAAGGATCAATAGCAAACCTGCTTTTAAAGGGCAGGAGACAGCAGGAAGGAAATCCTTTCACTGTAGGAGAGGCAGCCCAGGCAAGGGGCCAGCCTGCCTGTCCCACCACCAGTTCTTCAGCCTGGGAGATCTGTGGCATCCCACAACAGGGCAATGCGATTTATATGAGTATCGCAGCTTCCTCTATTTGAAAACTCAAAGGTTTTCTTCCTTAAACATCCTTAAATCTAACTTAAATATTATTTCACCTCCCTCTTCTAACCTCCCCCAGTTTTCAGGGAGGACCTGCACTGAGATAGGTGAATCTGTGCAGAGGTCTACTGCATGTGGTTAATTTCCCATTTATTTAGGGAAGTGGAAAAGTTTTGCTTTTTTATTATTTTGATGGATCAAGATGGACATTGAGGACCAGCTTCTGGACTTGTCTGAGGTGGCTTTGTGTGCTTGAGGGTAAGGAGGTGGTTCCCTTGGGCTTTCGCTGCTCCTGAGCCTCCTGAAGGTTGGCCACCTTTCCTTTGGCCCAAGGGAAAGAGGGGACGGTTATCAAGAAATCCCTGCTGGGACCACAACCACTTCCCCAAGTGGTCCCTCTGTGAGGTTGCCAACCTAAACCACATCAAATGCTCTTGGGCACTCCCTATCAGTTCTTCTTTCCCAATGTGTTGCAAGGTCAGCTGCAGATTTCTGGTCTTTACCTTGAGTTCTAGGGTGGTTTCTTAGTACCCCTCCACTTCATTTAGCTCTCTGCTTCCTGAGGTAGCTCCATCATTTCCCATGGACATGTACCCAGGAGCAGCTTACACCATCTGAAATGTAAGTGATCTGCACCTTCTGACCTTCACATTCTTGATGTTGACGGTCCCTACTTAAGGAAGGGTCCTTTTCTTTTTCTGTATCTATTTCTGGCATCCTGATCCTGACGGGTCAAAGTCTGAAGTTTCAGATGCCCCCTGCGGAGGCAACTGGCCAGAAGCTCAAAGAAAACAACTTATTTGTATGCGTATTTACATAAGCCTGTGTGAACTTCATGACCAGTTGCATTCCCTTCTTCCAGTAAGGGCATTAAGAAGAAATTCCACATTTTAAATCTCAGAATTAGTCACAAGTTACAAACTGCAGATTTCAACTTTTCTCCCCTCAAATCCATCTCCAGCTTTTTTTTGCATGGATCATGCTGGTTTTCCTGCATTTTCTCTGGGACTTCCTGATTGTTTTCTTTTCATCTTTCTGTTTTTGCTCTGCATTTCCCCCCCTCACCCCACCAACCCGCCCCATTCTCTCATGCCTTACGAGCATGTTTTTGCAAATGGATTTAGCTTCTGAATTTTAATCAGGCTCAAATGAGTCAACAGTCTGGGAGAGACCAAAAAGTCTCTGTATGCTCTTTCCAGATGTTAGTGGAAGATCCTTTGATGCTTGCAGCAAACAGCAGATGGTGATTTTCAGGGCAACCTTTTTTCCTAAGAGAGAAGGAAGCACGGAGCGATGGGATTAGAACGTTAAAATATAACATTTCTTAATAACTCACAGTGTATTAAAATGTTGTTTGCTAGGCAGTTGGGAAGCTAGGGACTGTCACTCTTGGGAGTGAATTGTAGTACTTCCCTCACATTAACTGATTGTCAGCTTATTGTCAGGAAGTGCCCAAGTGTTGTTCTAGTGGTCCTGGTGGGAGCTGAAGTCAGCAGCTGGTGCAGCCAAGGAGGTGCCACCAACAGAGAGGAGATTGCAGCTGGGATTAGCAAAGCACCATCCCAGTCTTGCAGGTGGTGTGGTACTCAACTGGGGCTCTTACCTGGCACTCAGCACCGTATCTGTAAGAGTGGATGCAGTGCCTTCAGCATCAGGGCAGTGTGACATGCACCCTGAGCTGAAAGCTGGAGTTGGCAACTCTTGGTCAGGGCAGTCCGCAGCTAACCGTCTTCCTTTAGGGATAGCAATTGGGAGGAGAGGGTGTGTGGCCATGGCATCAGCAAGCATGAAGAGTCTGAATTTGGGACTTTGTTACAGGTCTAGTGACCCCTTCCCAGGTTAGTTTTGCAAAGATAAAAATTGGGAACGTACGTTTCAAGTTGCAGAGGAGTTAAAACTTTGGTGTAGGTAGTTAAGGCATTTCAAGCCCCAGAGGAAAGTCCCACTCTGACTTGATCTCAGTTTATTTCTGTTCCTTATTGTGCTTCCTTTAACTTCTTTAGACCATACATTGTCCTTCTCAGACTATCCATCAGTCCTCCATCACTTTCCCTGTTGCTTTCCTGTTTGTTTTCAAGGTGAAGTTGATTAAATAAGAGATAGTGTTACTGTCCCTCTATTCTCCTCTCCCCCAAAACAACAACCCAGCCCTCACTACACATTTGCAGCGCAGCTGCTCGGTTGTATTTTCCTTATTTTTCAGGCTATTTTGTAATTACGTATCTGTGACTGGCTGATCTGTTTATTTGACTCTTCACAGATGTTACCATCTGTTTTTTCTGTTACCTCACTTCCACTTGCTGGTCTCTAAGTTCATGTCAAAGGTTTAAAAGTGTATTTATTTTTATTTTAGTACAGGGGAAGAGAAGCCAAAAACTTAAAGAGCAGGTGTCCTTGTTTGATCTAGAATCTCCAATAGCAGTAGCAGTACCAGTTGTTTTGGGGTAGTACTCCAGGAGAGATCAGTTTCACAAACTGGTTGACTTCCAAACGTGGCCACGTGTGATGCCAGCAAATTACCGTTTGCAGATGTCTCCATTTCAAGACCTTCAAACCATTCTCTCTTGTTGGAGCTGAAGATGGAGACTGAGATTTTGAGTAACAGCATATGTTCAGTGACCTTGCTTTACCACCTTTTTCTGCTGCAGATCTGTTTAGATAGGTGGCATGAGCCAGAAAACACAGGATCTCTCATGGCACTTTGACTGTTGCTGTTGGGGTCTCTTTACACGAGAAGATGTGGTCTTAAGGCCATGAAGTCTTAAGGTGAAGAAGAGTTCTTTTTATGAATCCTCTGAGATTAGGCGAGATCCACAGAGAGCTTGTGTCACTGCCAAAATGGTTTTGGTGTCCTGAGGTTAGTGCCACTGCAAGAGGAACAGGGAACCTAAGTCTTTGCAATGTGGAAATGAATCAGAGCATGGAGCTATGTGCTCAAGGGTTTGGTGGCTAGCTGTGGTCTCATCTAACTACCAAAAGTTGGGACTGAAAACAAATTCAAGGCATCCCCTCTGGTGCTTGGAGTTTTTTCTTTTTTCCCCTGCACTCTTGGCAAAGATCATTCCTTGGGATGACTGTTGGGACACCAGACATCGCATTTACTGTACAGACTGCCAGCCATCATCCCTTAGTTAGGGGATCTTATTTCCTTATGCCAAGGGTATCTTTGGTTACCCCATGACTAAGATAAGCCTTTTCTGCCGTTCTGAGTTTCTCCAGTGCCACAATGAGCTGCAAATGAAGGCAGTGAGAGTCCTTATTCCCTCCTCAGTTCACTTTTCCTGAAAAGAGGCAGAAGAACTCCTAGACCCCAAATCTGAGCCTTTCTCTGGTAGCATCTGAGTTCAGGAGCATGCATAATTCATTAGTGAAATGGTGGATGCCTCCTCACTTGGAGGCTTTCAGGTCCAGCCCTCAAGAATGAGTTTTTTAAGCTTGATGCAGACTAAGAGCAGTTTGTGTATTTAATCTGACAGGCTGCAAATACTGAAAGCCTTCAAAAATAAAAAAAGCAGGACTGTTGTGCAGTGCAAAGAGCTGTTAGTAATAAAAAGTCATAAGTAAGATGCAGCATTCAAAGCGGCTATTAAACTGTCTTAGTATCTACTTTTAGAGACAGAACAGGAACAAAACTCTCTTTAGGAGATCACTGTTGTGCATGTGGAGTGTAGGCAGTGCTCGTAAAAGAATGTGGGTATGTGGCAAAGAATATTCTGTATGAGGTTACTGTTGCTGTTGTTGTTTGTACCATATGCTTGGGGTTTTTTTCCTAGGTTCTGCTGTTTGGCAGCTGATTGCATCATTCCTGAAACTCCCGATATCGGGGACCCATTGTATCGTAGGTGCTACGATTGGATTTTCTCTTGTTGCAATTGGCACGCAGGGAGTCCAATGGATGCAGCTTGTCAAGATTGGTAAGTCCTGTTCCCTTTTATGTGTGAGGCTATGTGAAATAGTGTGCACTGCCTGCAAAAAAACATTCCCTGAAATCTGCTGTGTGCTGATAGGACTCCCTCCTTAAATGATTTTCTACCCCAATCCTGTCCTTCAGAGGATGCACTGGTGCTGTTTTCATAAAGGCTGCTGGGTGTCTCCAGTGGAGAAGGGGGTAAAACATAAGCTGCAGTGCCCCAGTGTAAGCTGAGGACACACTGTTCCTCAGAGCCTTGCTTCAAGGTGACATTCCTCCTCTTCTAATTCTTTCTGTGGCAGTTCATACCACCCCGTTCTTGCTCTCGACAATGCTAGCCATCATGTGAATGCCCACAGTCATGTTTCTCCACCCACCAGCTTCAGGGAGGCGAAAGCTGGGCATACACAACATGTTTAATTTGCAGCCTCACATTGGCAGGATCAGCACAGTCACGCAGGGATGCGAAGGAGTTTTCATTATTGGTGTGGAAGCCTTGTAACCAGTGTCATGGCCTAAACCCTGTGTTAAACACAGTGTTTGATGCTGAAGACATGGAAATACAACTCAGTTTTAGAGAAGTTGGAGCAATGCTTGTTTTTTTAATTCTGTTGAAAGTAGAAGGGAGTTTGCAATGACAGCAGAATCAGTGTTAACCACGCTGCAAACAGTAAATCACTCTGGATGAGATTTCCAGAGCTCTGCCCTAATCCAGTTTTATTGAAATCAGTGGGAGTTTTACCACCTACTTCAGTTAAATCAGTCCTGGACACTTGCAGATCTGGCCTGCAGAAAATGTATGTGTGTTATTCATTAGAGTTGATGCTGCCATGGCATTTTGGAAATGGAGGCAAGCAGCATGGCATCCTAATAGATGCAGTTGCTTTCCACTTGCTTGCAACATTTGTGATCATGGTGATTAGAAAATTACAGGGCTTTTTTGGTCCTCTTTGCATCAGACTAAAAGAAACTTTCCTAGTGGATTTGATTGATAAAACTTGCAAAATTATCAGGAAATGCTTTGGCCAATGTTTCTAATATTGCCTAGTATTACTTTGATTTTCATGAGTATCACTGGACACTGAGTTATACCAGCTGTAAGTAAACATACAAACCATTCGTTCCAGTTGTACAAGAACTTTTAAATTTATGGCTCATCAACTGCTTAACTATTATGCAAGAATGCTGTTTATTTCTTGTTTTATTCTTTCTCTTCTTCTACACAGTTGCCTCTTGGTTTATTTCCCCGCTGTTATCTGGCTTGATGTCTGGAGTCCTCTTCGTGCTGATTAGATTCTTCATTTTAAACAAGGTAAAGAAATCCCACTGTTATAATGAGTGCTTGGTATGAAGGCTGTGTTCTAGATTCCCATTTGAGTGCTGGTATTTCCAGCGTTGGAAGTTTGCAGCTTGGGGTTTTTTTTATAGCCATTGGAACTGTACTGCTCTTAGCAGTTCTGAAAGCTCAGCATAAGTAATGTGGCAAGTATTTAAGGCTTAGAAGGTGCTATGTAATAATTAAAACTGTGTATTCTGTTTGATTAAAGGATGGTACATTGAGATTGCATCTGTATTAGTATAAACTTGTTGGTGTTGACTCAGCCTCATGATGGTCATTCTATTATTTAAACAGAACAACCATCCTTTGGAGATAGCCAAATCAGTATTTCCTAGTTGTAGAATTAAAAGCTTTGGTTTTCTAGCACATCAGACAATAGAAGGTGGGCATCTGCATATTTCCTAGATTCTCAAGAACCCTGGATCGACGGGTTTTAGTGACCTCAGTCAAAAGTGGCAGCTCTGAAATAACATCAGTACATATATCTTTCGTGCAGAAGAGGATTTGCTTGCCACCTAGCATGAACTGGAAACGAGAACACTTACCTGCTCTTTCCATTTCTCTTGTACCATTCAACTTGCTAAAATGGGGGAGTGCAGTGCATGACAGTGACCTAAAATAAGTGACACTATATTAGCAGTTATACAGGGAACTTAAATAGACGAGGGATTAATTCTTTTGCTATAAACAGCACCACCTGTAACCTCAGATTCATCACTCTTTATTTTCGATGTAAATAAATGTCAGTGGTAAAAGCAGATGATAAATCTGATCAGGCTCAGCTCTGAATTTAAAATTCCTCAAGTTGCATAGAGGATGAGGAGAAGTTCCTTTATTGCATTCAAAACCTAATAACTTGAGAAATTAGTCATCAAAATCACAAGAGCTCTTGTATAAAAGCAATGTATTTAAGCATTCAAGAGGCAGAAAGCATTCAAGCTAAGGAAATTGTCTTCTGACTGCCATCTGTGCCATTCACAAAGTAGTAAGATCTGTAGAGTCTCTGGCATAAGCTGGTTGTGACTTGTGTTGTGTGTGTGCATAAAAAAAGAGCAGCCTTTTAGCTTGTGAGTCCATGGGCTGGTATAGGGGTTCATGCCCTTCTTGGGGGTGTCTGTGAATAGCAGCTGGCCCTGTGGATACAGCCAGTGCTGCATCATGCTTCAGGACCAAGGCATAGTGCAGGGTGGCTGCAGCCATCTCTTGGCTCCCTTTACTAGCTCGTGGCAGCAAGAAACAAAACCGCATTCGCCAGCCCTTAGCTTTGCCAGGCTCTTTGCAAACACATGGAGCAACTCAAAAGGCCAAAGCAGTCTCCTCACAAAGGCTTTTTAACATGGCTCGCACGGTGTATTTCCGCTGCGCCGTCAGCTGAGCCTTTCCTTGTGAGCACCGAGGGCACGAGACTGCAGCGGACAGTAGGCACAGCAGTGTACTAAACATTGGATGCTCACTTTATGTATGCTGCCTGCTCAGTATGGCCAGACACTTAACATTTTGGAGATCTCTGTTAGCTGGAGGAAGGTGTTAGATTGTCTCAGTTGAAACTGAGAGGTTAGGAGTAAGTTCTTGTGATGGGTGCGTTGCACTGAAGCTTGTAGCCAAGCCCGAAAATGTCAAAGCCCTGTCCTGCTGGACACCCTTCAGTCATGTCAAGTGAAAGGGACTCCTCCCCTTGGAGACAAGATAGGTAAGAAAACACTTCCAGAAAGAAACCTGGTCCCAGATCACCCAGCAGGTCTGCACCTGACCTGATAGTACAACCTGTCTTCCTGGTCCCCATTAGTAGTGTCAAGCCAGAATGCTAGTGCTTGCCAGGACCAGTGATGCAGATTTGGGTGTAACCAGACAGGTCACCATCCTTTCCTTACCGTCCACCCAAGAGCTCCACCTAACTGGCACTGACTTAAAAGCATGTGTTTTTCCTCATGGTGGTTCATGCTGACATTAATCTGGTGGAAAATCCTGCTAATATTTCCTTTTTTTTTCCTCTCTCCACAATTTCTGTGCAGGAAGACCCTGTGCCAAATGGTCTCCGCGCACTTCCAGTGTTTTATGCTGCTACCATAGCTATTAATGTGTTTTCCATCATGTACACGGGGGCACCAGGTGAGTAAGCTGTCCACGGGAGGGAGGCATCCCACAGTGTCTAATGATGCTCTGCCGGTGTGCTGTCAGGTAGCTGTTGACGTTGTATGGTTATTTCCTGTGTTAGGAGTTAACAAAGGCAGAAGTAAATCATACACCCCCCACATGCTTGTGACTCGCTCCTGATCACTCCAGTTAGTGGGGGAGAGCAGAGATACAAAAGAAAATCCCTTTTTAGAGGAACGGGAAATACTGAGCTGCCAGCTTCAGCTTCATGTATCTGAGCACACTGAAATCAGCAGAGTCACTGTTCTGGCAGATCTACCATGGAGCTGATTAATTACATTTACTTCTTTATATCCCTTAAACGATAAGAAGCCACAAGCCTGTTTCTGCATTAAATGCACCCTTTTTCTTGGGTGCTGTGTTTTCATTGCAACTCAGTAGAAAGAAATGATATGTGTCATTTTCAGGACTTATTTTGTATATTAGTATATTTTGTGTGCAGTTATATGTTTGTGTTTATTTATAGTTGCGTTTACTTATGTTTGTGTTTATATTTGAACTCATGTTTGTGTGTTTATATTTACACATTTATGTTTATATATTTGTATTTATGTCTTTATATTTAACTTTACTTAAGCAGTTTACGTTTGAACATGCATTTGCAGCAAAAGAGCTCAGAAAAAAAGAGGATCAATGATCTTGACTACCTTATTGAGGACTCTGGTCATTAAATGTTACCTTTAGATTGGATTATTGTGGAAGAGAGACACCTGAACATGTCCCTGAATTAAAGAAAGCAGCCTTAGAAAGTGACCTTTTCTGAACAGAAATTTGTTTTCTCTAAAACTTGACACACAAGATGCACTCAATAAATGCAGTCAGTAGACTACTTCAGAGCGTTACTGAAATGAATAAAAAGCTTGAGAAGTTCACAATTTGAGGATAACATAACCCAACTATTCCCTTTTCTTAAGTCTAATTGGCTATGTATCCAAGATGTCTCACAGTAAATCAGCTGTATAAGCAACGTTTCCTCATCAGTTGTACTGCAGAAGTAGGTCAGGCACTCTGCAGTGACTCATTAAGCAAAATAAATGAAATAAGAATCTTAATGTCCCTTCTGTTTCATCTTAGCAGTCTCTGTGTGAATAAAAAGGTGGGACTCTGTTTTTGATACTTGGGAAATACATATTTACTCTCCAAGGCCTCTGTCAGGGCAACATTTACTTACAAGAATGAATTAATCATGTAGCTTTCAAGACAAGCATGCATATGCAGGTATGAAAGATCATAGTCCAAGCTCTTTCTTCATTAAGGGTCTGATCATTCAACTGAACAAGTGCAGGGAGCTTTATGGGGGGGATACTTAAAGTTACTGGCATGATTGCACATTGCAGGACTGAAACCTGAGTTCTCAAATGCTACATTTAGCTATTATCATAAGCAAATTAGGCTTAGATTAAGCTAAGCATCAGCCTTTATTAAGCAGAGCAAAGGTCAGGTAAATACTTACCCTAATGGGCAACATGGTCTAACATGCATTAGTGAAGAAAATCACTGCAGGCTTGTTTTAGCAGCCCTAATGTGGGAGTTTTTCCCCTGCCTTCTTTGGAAATAAGGACACAGTAGGGTAACGGAATTGCAAGACTAAACCGGTAAATGGTTGTGATGTCAATTAGACCTTTAAGTACTGCACTATGATATATATGTTAAAAATGGTTAGCTCATTCATTTTGTTTTTGAATACATTGTGAACGCAGGGTTTTCTGCAACAGACTGGTCTTCCGCTGCCTGAGATAATTAAGTCATGTTAACTTACGGTTGCTTGGGTTTTATTTCTTTGTCTTCACAGTGCTGGGATTGATATTGCCAATGTGGGCCATTGCTCTAATATCAGTTGGTGTATCGTTAGTATTTGCTGTCTTAGTCTGGATTTTTGTGTGCCCCTGGATGAAGAGAAAAATAGAAAGTAAGTAATTTCTTCATGAAATGCGGGTGATGTAAAACCATGAGAAATTTCATTGCAGAGCTGGAAGTGCCCTTGAGAGGTCACCTAGTCCGGTCCCCACCCACAAGCAGAATGTGCTTGAACTATTCCTCATGTATTTGTGTAACCTGCTCTTAAATGCCTGCAGTGGTAGAAATCCAAAACCTTGTTAGGTAATCCATTGCAGTGCTCACTTTTTCTGGACCTCAGCAGAAACAGGATAATAAATCCTGGAATATAATCCAGTTTTCATGTTTTATTAAGGAAATGTTAAAGAGGCGAAATCTGGAAGAATGATTATCCTTAGGTGACTTCTTTAACTTTGCAGTCAGTTGGGCTGGTCACAGCTTTAAGCTGATAGTGTTCTTCTTGTTTTCTTTGCTATTCAACAAACGCAGCATTTAAAATGTAGAGGAAAGTTTCAGATTTCATTAATAAATAAGCAACTCAGTGTTTTATATCATTTATCTATTCTGGCAAATTTTGTAGGAAGTTACAAAGATGCTTTAGAATTTTCTCAGACAAATTTAAAGATAAGCATTAGAAATAAATAAAGAACGTGTGTGAACCGGAGCCAGGTTGTTGTATCCATGCTGATCTATGCTGTTAATGCAAATAGTGGAAACATAAGCAGCTAGACAGATAGGTTGCGTTTAAAATTACAGTGCTGTTATTTCCTTAGGCCGGTTAAAGAAAGATGCTGCACTGTCAAGGATATCAGATGAAAGTCTTGATAAAATTCAAGATGAAGAAACACCAGTCTTTAAAGAGCTTCCTGGTGCCAAAGCATCTGATGAGAGCACAGTTCCTCTTACTGGCTCAGTAACAGAAGCTGCTGGGGCATCAGATACTATTGCAAATGGAAACCATCCACGTGTACCATATGGTAAGAAACTAAGGCAACACCAAGGGCTTATATTCTCCCTGTTTCAATAGCATTTCTTAACTTTAAGTAGGTCTCTGTTACAAATGGTTAGTGTTTGTGATTTTCAGCTCAATCCCTCATCAGCATTTGCTGGGAAAGAGGTTCATTTACAAGTCATGTTTTCTATAAAGGACTTAAAAACGATTACATTTTGTTTGCTGTACTTCAATGTTAGAAAATGCTGAAAACAAAAATTACTTTCCTTTTTTGCTTTACTTTGTACCCTGAATGGTGTTTCCATCCTTTTAAGCAGTGGAAAAATACAGAGAACACAAATTGCTGATGTATGAAGGTTAAATTCAGCATAAAGATGATTAGCATACTACCACAGGAGATGAAAAGATTTGGGCTTTAGTTGATAAATGTATGACCATTTGGGGTATTTCCACTAGAAAAAATCTCACACGTTGTTGTTGGAACGTATATTTGTAAGAAGCAGGCTTGTCAGCATAAAGCTCTTTTTGTTCTCGTGTGGTGGGATTGTACCCCCACACACTTGGCTCTCTGCTGACTTCGATAATCGCTTTGCTAACATCTGCACAGCCCTGTAATTTGTTTAATAAATGCCTAACATATTCAACTGCTGCTTACAAAATCATGTAAGTCATGACATGAAGCCATGATACATGCTTCCAATTTAAAAATAGCTAAACCCAATTCTGTGTGTTGCACAGGGGAAATCCAGGAAGTAAGGAAATGAAACAGTTTCTTCAGAACTGTTGCCTTAGCTGTGATATGTGTCCTACAGTGTATGCTACTGTTAAATGTATACAGTGGGAATAACCAGCATCATGTTCCTAGACATAAGATGTACAGAATGCTGGAATAGCTAAGGAAATCTTTCTGCAGCACAGTAACTGTTTTTCTTCTTTAAATTATTTTTAAATTACATAAATGCCTCTCAAACGCATTTGAGAGGTAACCTCATATTCAGTATGAAATTACAGTAAAACACCTTTCCAGGATTCCTCGTTACGCCTGTTCAGTTCAAAACCTCACAAAAAGTAGAGCTTATTTTACATGAGAAGAATTTTATCGAAGTTACTTTTTCAAAGAACCTGAGGATTTCACCTTCAAGTATCACCTTTGAATAGCTGATACCCAGAGACTTGCTGCAGGTCATACAGCGTGTCTGGGGGAGACCCAGTAGTGGTACAATGCTCTTTTCGCACAGAAGGTGAGAGAGTTTATTTTGCAGTGAATTGAATACGATCTACTGCAAGCTGATCTTTTTTGTCCAGCATTCTTGGATTTCTGCCTGTTTATTGCCTCACAAATGGGGAAGGAGGAGGTTTCTGCACTGCATTTTGTAGAAATAAAAACTCCAGATCTCTGTCTTTTTAGGAAGGGCATTTTCAATGACGCACACCTCGGTGAAATCACCTGTTTCCAATGGCACCTTCAGCTTTGATGGCCAGGTGAGGAGCGATGGCCATGTTTATCACACTGTGCACAAGGACTCAGGTTTATACAAAGACTTGCTCCACAAAATACACCTGGACAGGGCCACTGACGAGAGGCCTGCTCAAGAAAACAACTACAAACTGTTACGCCGCAACAACAGTTACACGTGTTACACAGCTGCTATCTGTGGCATGCCTGTGCATTCCTCCTTTAAGGCAGCGGATACGTCAACTCCGGAGGACAGTGAGAAGTTAGTGGGAGACACTGTTTCCTACTCCAAGAAGCGAGTCCGATATGACAGCTACTCCAGCTATTGCAACGCAGTGGCCGAGGCAGAGATTGAGGCAGAGGAAGGTGGGGTGGAAATGAAGTTGGCCTCTGAACTTGCAGATCCGAACCGGCCCCCAGTTGAACCTGTGGAAGAGGATAAGGAAGAGAAAGACACGTCTCAGGTCCATCTACTTTTCCACTTCCTCCAAATCTTAACAGCCTGCTTTGGATCCTTTGCCCATGGAGGTAATGATGTCAGGTAAGAGGATGAGATCTCACAAGCCAGCGATTTTGCTGTTTAAGTGTTTGGAGCAAGGTTTGCCAGCTTGGCTGGTAGGAAAGTGTATTCATGTCTGGAGGCAGATGATCATCAGGGCTGTGTTTCACAAAGCATGCGACACTGATGCCCCTGGCGCTTTCCAGAAATTGGGCTGCTCAGTCACAGGTTTATTTTCTTCTCAATGTTAACATCTTTTTTAGTCTCTGCTAAATAATTGTGCAGTAATTAGTTTAATTTTGATAAGCTTTGAGGCATTGAGACACTCCCCCTAGCATGCCAACCATTGTAAAAACAAACAGGACAGTCCCAGCCCTGCAGAGTTTGCAGCCTTTTTTAACTGCAAGATCAGAGACCATCAGCAAATGAGAGGTTTAGACTACTTTTGTCATGAGACAGATTTCATCCTTTGTCATATTGTGAAAACAGGTGCGTGAAGAATGTCTTTGATTGCTGCAGCCCTTTAAGACTTCCCTTTGCTGAATCTTTTTGAGTTTTCCAGGGTCTAGGGCTGTGTGAGGCAGTTTATCACTAAATAACCCAGAAAATCTAACAAGCCTTAACATCAAAGCCCTACTGAAGTTAGAAACTGCCCATACAAGGTCTCCGGCTGCCACACCTCTCTTACCAAAATAGACAAAGTTACCCCTGAGGCACATTCCTGTGCCCTATGCAGAGAGGGGACATGGGCTATGGCTCATAGCCTAGTGCTCATTAAAGAAGTTTCCCATCTCCCAGCATAGTTCTGGCATGCAGTACCCCCAGCAAGAGTTTTATGCAGAGCCACTATTGCCCCTGAGTTGCTCCTTGAGTTTGGAAGAAGCCGGTGAGTTCGTCCGTCAGCCGTTTGGCTTACATGTGTCTGTCCTTAACTCCCACGGCACTAACATCATTTCCCAGGAATAAAGGAAAAGGATCATGCTCCCGGAATCTTTATCTCATGTTCGTGTTGACTCAGGCAGCTGGCAGAGTTTTGAAGTTGGTCTCAGAGATGTTTATCTGCAGCTCTTTGTCCTCCATCATCTGGTCAGACCCTGGTGAAATAGTGTCTCTTCACTCACTCATTTGCAAACCTCTTTCGCTTTGAAGGCTTGGCTCTGCTTTATTCCACAAAGTACAGACTTTTGACTGAAGGACATAGGATGTATGCCAAGGATGGAGCGTTTTATACCTTCCTTGTCTGCACTCCCATTGCTTATCTGCTTGTAACATTGCTGTATTTGCAGGGCCCTGTTGCACCTTGCCATCTTGCTGGAATGTGGCCGCAGGGCAGTTTGGGTGTTTTGCTCTGTCCCTGGGAACACTGAGTATTTTTCCTTTAGGATTTGGCTGGATTGCCTTTTCCCTAGGCCTGGAATGATCCACATGGTATTTACTGGGTGTTCTGTCCTGTACTGTGATAAGGCCCCCTGAGAAGCTGCTTGTCAAAGCAGTGGTCCTTGTTTGAGTTGTAGCTGGGGCCGTACTGAATCCCCTCCCCGCTGAACCCTTGCTGTGCCCTGAGGGTATTTGTTTCAGCATTTGCAGTGGGGCTTTGCAGTGTTTGTAACTTTTATAGTCCTCCTTAGGCATCTGGGCAAATGCTGTCTGACTCAGCAAGGAGAGCAGTTATTGCTCCTCACTCTTGTTTGCCATGCAGATTAACTCACAGCTTATCTTGAAAACATTTACATCTTCTCCCACCCCTGTCCACCCAGTGTCCTGGGAGTTTAAAAGAGGGCTTTCTGAACAGCCGCCTTGACTTCACTCTTGTTATTACTCCCTTTGTACTTGCAAGGATCTACCAGGTATCACACCAGGCAAGAGCAAAGACCCATGGAGGCCTGTACCCATGCTCTGCAAGTGGCCAGCATCAAGTGCCAAGGGAACATAGGAATAAGGACAAACATGGCTGATGTTTGTTGTAGTGTACGCTGGGAAATGCCATTCCACAGAGCTCACAGCCTATGCCAGTAGGTTCCCCTGCCTCTTTATTCCCTGTAGGTGATGTCTGTACATACTTCTCAAGGACTCACATGTTTATGCAAGCATCACTTGCCTTTTCTGTAAGAGGCAAGGGTAGCAGAATTTGTTAGAAGAGATCTGCAAGGATGCAGTCAGTTCAGAAAGCAAATTTGTTGTTAAGAGGCAGCCAGGGTGAAAGACAACATTTGAACTCTATGCTTTGTTTCATCTTAAAGTCTAATTCCCCCAGAATTCTGCATTTGGACTGGCTTGTTGCCGTGACAATATTCTTTCCTGAAAAATCATACTTTTTAGTGTATTGCAGATCTCTGTTTCTGTCAGTGATCCTACCAAATTTGCCAGGAAGTATGTGTTTTTATTACATGCTTTTATTCCAAAATCTCTTCTTAAGCTGAATTCATGTAATTGCAGAACTAAAGAACAAGTTGGCTTTGTTTTGTCAAAGCTGAGAGAAATGCAAGATGGTCATGGGTGTAGGACTGGAGAGGAACCCATCCTTACAATTGTACTGCGGTCCAGCAATAAGAATTAAAGACCTTTTTGTATGCCAAAAAGGTTGAGTAGATAAAACACTGTGAATGCAGATTTCTATCCTGTGGATTATGTAGCAGAGGCATTTTGCCAGTCTTTGTCTAGTAGAGCAGAAGACTTCTTACTGGGCTTTTGGCTCCTCCACATATTGCATAAGGATCTGCAGAGCCTGAAAGGCAGTGAGCTGTTTTAAAAATAGTGTGGTAGAACCTAGCTAGTATCATGCCTTGCTGTCCACATTTCTGTAGAAAGCAAGCCTTTGCAGTCCATCCTCCACTGAAGGCTGCTGTCTTTCCATGTCCCTCCTTCGTTCAATTTCCTTCTCATTTTTGGTGCCGCTGTCAAGCTGCTTCTCAGTTTTTTCTCTCAGCCTTTTTCCTCTGCATTTGGTTTTAAACTCCTCATTTGTATATTTACGGCCCTTCCATTGACCAGATCTTCTGCTCTGTGTTTGTTTCCTATGTTTTCCTTCTGCATGCTGGAACTCACTTGTTCCTATGCTTTCTATGTATTTTCCATCAGGCTGTTTGCTGGTATTCCTTGAAGGGACAGGAGCATGTAAGAGAAGCAAAGAGAGAAAAATTAAAAGCTAATATAAAAATTAAAAACTGCAGGTAGTTAAATAATTCACCTGTTTTGGAGCATATTTAAGCTTGAGGCATATGGTATGGACTGAACCATGGTGCAGCTTGGAAACACTATGGAGCAGAAGTGTCTCATATAGTTTGGATAGCACTTGAGTGGGCAAAAAATCAAAGGGAAATCTACCTTGTTTCATTGTCCAGGCTTTACCTCTGGACCGGGAAAAGCTAAATCAGTATTTTGCCTTGGACTGCAGAGCTAACTCATAATAAGGATAGCTAGACCCCACTTTATTCCAAGATCATGCTTTTTAGCATCATGATGATACCAGCCATGTTTGCTGTAGGAGCTAATGTTTGTAGCAGTCAGAGCTTGTGTTTGGGCTGACATCAGCAGGGATCCTGGCTGGGGCAGCTGTGCGTTAAAAGCAACAGGGAGTCATGGTAACTCCTTGTTTGGGTGACTGTTTTGTTCAGACCATCTCCTCCTGCCCCCCTGCCGCGGAGCTTATATGTGCTGTGTCAAGGATGCTGGAGCCCTTCCAGGGCTGGGACTAACTGAGCCGGGCCGAGAGCCTTGTGACACCATCGTGCACATGGGCTCAATGAAATCTAAAGAATTTAAAATCCCAACTAAATGTGTTGGGACAGCACTGCTGCAAAAAAATGTTGTTGTTGAAGTTAATTAGCGGCGCTGAGTGAGCAGGTCTCACTGGCTCAGCACCCGAGCACAAAGGGAGCACGTCAGGTCATTGCAAGGGCAGCAGGAGAATAAAAAGGGCAGGATGGAAAAAAAGACCTGGGCGAGGAGCGTGACACAAGGAGGACTGCCAGCTTCCTAAATGCTTGCTGAGAGCCAGCTTTCCCCAGAGGCCAGGAGCCTGGGCGCTGTTGGCCAGCAGGGATTATATGCACCTATGGCTGAGTTGGACTGAGCTTATTTTCTGTAACTATGGGTTGGTTCAGCAGGAATAGTGAAGCTCAGCGCTGCAGCCACAGCAGCCTACCTGTATAAGTACATGTGGGTAGTGGGGGAGTCACAGGAGTTGCATGGTTTACGCTGTGTTTCAGAGTCTGGAAGCATGTCTGAATTAACTAGTTCCTGAAACCAAGGGCAGGTGGGCAGGCTGTTCTGGAAGTGTCTAGAGAGGACTGCTAAACTCACTGCTATCTCCTGTGCTCAGCACAACAGTGGCTGTGGCTGCTTTGCTACAGGGTTGGGAATGAGAAAGCTATGAGCAAACTCCACAGCCCATCCACACAAATGAGATGTTTTTGTTGACTCAAGCATTCTCTGGAGCTCATTGTTTCTTGAATGCTTGCATTTGAAGCAGGTTGACCTACAGAAAGATACTGTAGTTCCACAGGAGTTTTGATGATTAAAATCTGCTGTTTATGCTGTGAAAAAAGCTTGAGCCTCATGTTCCTACACACCCCTCTGTTCATGTGTTTAGTTTCTTCTCGTTCAGACTTTTCTCCTATAAATGGGTAGCCTTCTCTGTCCCTTCCTACCTGCCATCTCCGCCTCAGGCCATTATTCCCACCGTCACAGGAGAAAACCCAGGAATGACAGAAGGAGTGGTGTGCCCTGGCTTGCATCTAGCGATGGAGAAAGGTTGGTTTATTATTGTGGAGATGGCAAGATCCATGATGCTCCACCTGCAGAGGGTGACCGCAGACCATGCCACCCACCTATGTCCATGGATGCCAAGGGGCAGGTATTGCGGTTTAGCTGCTGTAGTGAGGAGAAACCTGCTTGCAGACTCTTCACACTCGTGCAGGGGATCTCAGTTTTGCTGAGTTCCTGCTGCATAAATTGTTTGAATGTGGCTGCTCTAATTAAATTTCATGTGGAGGATTTCAGGACTACCCTTGCCTGTTCATACTTAAGTATTATTGGAAAAA